CTGCTGAATTTCATTGCGCGACGTTTACTGTCCCGCGATCTCGTCATTATAAGCAAACGTAATTAATCCGCGCATATATCCAATTTACCGGGGACGGGCGTTAAAACGATTATACTGCCCAAACAGGGTGCACGATTAAATGCCCATCGTATAAATTGAATTCGCGCACCGCGCCGCACACGCGGTGCACATCGTATTCTTGGCGCGCGTTGCTTGACCGGAAGCCGATATCTAATTTACGACCAGCGCTAATTGCACAAGCTAGCGCGATTCGCCTAATGGGAGATTTCATGTGCTGTTTATTAACTCGCCTCGTACATGCGAGAATATTCCGGACGAGGTAGATGTCGAACTTTCGCAGTTTCATGGTTCACGCTTCGAAGCTTTGGGTGGTATAAAACTTGCGTGTTTACGACTTTGCGCGCGCATACACGCGAAAATTGTATACTAATTAGTATATTTTCATGAAATAGAAATATTGAAAATATTAATTAATTAAAGTTCAATTATTGTGTAATCTATATCGATATACTTAAATGAATCACCAGGTTTAATTAACGATTCGTTTAGATAAAGAGTTTTTGATAATAGCAATATTTGGTTACTATATGATTATATTCCTTATCGCAAATTATTATAAAATAATTTTTTCAAAAAAGTTTAATTAGATCATCATCTATCACGTTATAATATTTGTAAAATATTAATATTAAATATGTTTATGTGAGAGAGTATGTGCATTTTAAATGAAGATTTTGTTAAAATTAATCGGATTATTCAAATCTTTTTTGCATTTCTAAACAGTTTATTTTAGAAATTAAAAAAAGTAATATCTTTCACATATATATGATTAAATTTCTTTTTCGAAATTAATAATTTTTTTAAACATATTTGAGAGAGATATTAGATGTCTTTTATATTTGCCATCATACTTTTAATATTAGAATGAGCGCATTTTAAATAAAGATGTTAATCTTAAAATTATAATCAGACGATAAGGTTTTGTTATTAGTTTGAGAGTGATTCATTAAAATTTTATTTCTTAAATTGGTCGTAGTTAGACATTTCTCGTTAAAAAAAATATTTTTAACTTTCCATAAATGATATTATATTAAAACATTCCTTCTCTCTTAAAGAAATCTTAAAGAATCCAAAATCTAAAATATCAAAATTTGCTATCAAAGAGATGTACAAATTAGCGCACACACGTTTGTACTAAACATCGATTCTCGCGGTGTGTATACGTGAATGTGCGATGCTCGATATAATTTATATACGCGTATCTAATAGAAGACAATAATCTCATCCTCTATATAATCAATCTACATGTGATGTCAGGATATTTGCGCATCCTGCCGTAAGGAGACCGATACGGATACGTTGTATATCAAAGACGGATAATCGACAGAGTCTCGTCGACGACGAAGATAGAAAATGCAATTAGAGAAAAGCGTCATGACACAACGTCGGACGGTAAAGCACCGTCGTTGTTAAACAATAGTCCGTGAATTGGATAAAACGCACGATTGTATAACGAGGGCTATAACGGGGCCGGTTTTATTACATCGCTAAAACGTAACATCGTAAAACTGAAACTGTTGCGACTGGTATAGACGATACATCTCGGAGGTCTATCGCAGGGCGGGTCCGTCGCAGAGGTAATTATCGGCGATGCCGTTGTAATTGCTTTTACCGCGGAATCGTAAGTTTATGAGCGGTCGTGCTGGCGATGGCGGCGAATTAACGATACATCCCGAGAGCTCCGCTCCTGCGAGTCATTAGTAATTGCTTATGGTTGTTTACGATGGTCGGTCATTGCAAAAAGCGATGCGCGAGCGAGCACGGTTGTAATCTGGTTGTAACGTAATTTCTTGCTCCCGCGCACACGAGATGAGATGTTCGTGGAAATTTCTCTCTCTCGTTGAATAAGTAATAAATACTACGATATATAGAGAGAAATACGCTGTGCGCATTATAAATTCGAAACGACAAGCGTCTCGTTAATAACGTGATATACAGATATCTTTACTTCGTTCTCATAGTTCCTTTTTAAAAGAATATAGACATTTCTTCTCTCTACTAGCGAATTCTCGAACATCGCTCTATTGAAATGTTTAATCGGGATCGCGCGATTTTTTTGCCAATTACGGACGTCACCTGGCGCCACATCGGATTATCGAGACTAAGCGATTTCGAGGTTTCTTTCTTATAATATTGTGCAATATGTGGCGACAAGGTTGCCTCGTTCCGTATCTACGATAACAAACAGCGGCATTGTGTTTTTGAATAGTTGACACATTGCCAAGACCGACCGGTGCACCCTGGCATATGTATGCTCTTCTGACACGTGTGCTGCGCCGGTGTTGCGTGCGTGTTTGTGTGTGTGTGTGTGTCTGTGTACACGCGCGGCATGAAAGGACGAGCTTGCTTTGCCGCGATCATTAAGATGAATGGCCCAGCTGATTAATCGCGCGCCGTTTGCCGTTGACACCCTTGGCTTTCCGCGCGGCCGCGGCTCCTGGCTTTTTCGTCCTCTCCGCGTCGGCGGTTTGTCACATTCTTCAGCGCGACATCGCGACGCAAGATGATACACGGCGCGCAGTGGAAATTCGACGGGAAACGAACGAGAAGAAGTAGGAAATTAAAAATCGATAAGGAAAAATGATGGCGGGATAATAGCGAAGCTACTGTGCAAGATACTCGAGAGTGAACGACAGGATTATCTATCATTCGAGGAGTAGTGAAATAAGAAGTGCGAGATTATGAAATAAAAGTTAAACGAGCGAAAACAAATAGGGATTTAAAAATAAATAAGGATGGAAGAATAATGACAGATTAATAGAGACTATTGCAGAATAGTTGAAAATAAACGATATGTGTGATTATCTTTCGCTTAAAGAATAATTTTTTTCTGAAATAAAGAGAAATGTGGAATCATGAAATAAACATTAAGAAAAGAATAAATTACAAGATAGATGAGAGTGTAAAAAATATAATTTTATAATACAGTCTCTCTTTCATATATTTTGTTTTATTTATTGTACGTATCGACATTTAATAATTTACTAAAATTAATCGCAAAATGATCAACATGTAATTACGAGTGATAGAGTATAATAGAATAACGTAAAGTAACGATACGTTCAAGTATTATTGGATCAATCGGATTCCGCATCGAATTAATAAAAACGTCTATATCCTTTTAAGCCGAGAGATTTGAAACACATTCCCTTTCCCGATGCCGCAATCCAAAAGATTAAGGAGTTCGCGCTTTAAAGGGGACCCGACTCGCGAAAGGGGTAAATTTGGGGTGAGTAGCGGCTGTCTTCGCGACTTACTACGGTCCATTTCATGCATCTCGAGGGGCGAATCAAGAGTTCCGCCAGTTCTCACCCCGAGAACTCCGAAACTCCTTGAATTATTATCTCGAATCGTGCGCGACTTACGGAATCGGACATTTCGCCCGTGGGAAAGGGATGAGAAACGAATTGGAAACGGACCGCCAAAGGATCACCGGCGAATGATCCCGCAGGAATATTTACGGACCTCTCGCGATCCTGATGTAGGACGTCTTCAGTGAAATTTATAGGCACGCATGAAGAAGATCGATCGCGCGGACTTTTTTCGCTGCCCTAACGTTAAGGGAACGAGTCGGGTCGTTGTTCAGGTTTCTTACATTCTTCGGATATCAGTCAAGGACCGATTATCAAAACTTTTATTACAAAAAATCGACCGAAACGCCATCTGTTTTCACAACTTTTCAATTTGAAACTTTGGATAACTCCAGTAGCTAAGCCTCAAATTAAATTCCTCTTAAAGCAAAGTCACTGAAAGTTAACGAAGGAACAAAGTTCTTCAATAGCTTTACGTCATTATTAAAAGCTCAACGTGCCAAAATGTTTTAATTTTGCAAAACAAGATGCGAGTTCAATTTTAAATATCTATTCTTTATAATTTTTTTTGTTAAATTTTTACTACAAAAAGACTAGGCTTTGAATCTTTGAAGATTCTAAAAAGAAAAGCGGCGATAAAATTCTTGTATGGAAATCTATATATTAACATTGTCATAAGTTATATTAGTTTATTTTTTATGCAAATAATCTCGTAATATATATTTTATCGAGTTAAATTTTATAATACTATGAAATAAAATTTCACTTTTATTTCTCAACAATTCTTTCCTAATTTTTTAAATTATAGTATAGTATAGTAAATTATAATTATAATATGGTATAGAATTTTTTGCTCCAAGATAAAAAAGTAACAAATCAAATTAGCAATGTGGTGATAATTTCAAGTCGAGATATCGAGATCAAAGGATCCTTCGGCGTATTTTTAATGAAGGACCACGCATCATCACACTCAGGTCGATTAGCATTGATCCATCCGCACTAGAGCCACTCTCGTAATTACTGACTCTCGGCAACGCGTTGCGCATATTGCCAGGGCAAACTCTGCGTGCCAACTTAATTCCTTAGCCCGTTCGCGGGCTAAGCGAAATCCCCGAGACGGCTGCCAAGATCATTGCGAATGCTCCTGTAATTAAAATGCGATCTCATGAGTCTGATCGTGATGCACTCCAGTTCTGCACTTCAATTTTTCGATTATAATTTAATTAAAATGTCAAACATTATCCTTCGACTTTTAATTGTTAATTTCTAGTTCTGTTTTGCATGTGATCTTATATCCGTGAATCTCGAAGTAATTTTGAGAATGTTTAAAAAAAATGTGATTACATAAAAATACTTGCTTTGTCGAAATTTAATTTAGTCATATCAGGAATTAAGTTTTCGGAGATATAATATTTGTATATTCCGTATATTTCATACAGTTTTGATTTAAGTCTCTAAAAAAAGAGAATTTATCTTTAATCGTGAAGTTGAGAATATTATTCAATAAGAATATTAATATTTTAAATAGTACTTTGCACGTAATAAACGCAACGGAACGTAAAACATTTTCCGGAAGAGACACCGTCTCTGAATCTTGAGAGAATCGTATCTTTGTTGAAAGTTTACATCTAAGATCTACATCTAAGTAACCGCACCGCAATCGCATCTCAGTTAAACGCGGTACACTTGCTCTCGATTCGACGAGATTCCCGTGAATAATATACATCGGTCGACTTCGCCGGCAATAATCCCCGCACGCCCAAGCTCTATACCCGACGCTCTAGTTCGACATTCTAAAATCCACTTCGCCCCCCAATGAAGGATAAATCGTACTGATTCGCCTCGGGGAGATCGCTACTCGGGGATATTTGTCTTCTATGTCAATGTGGCGGTGCACGCGCTCGGTTCCCGCTTAAATGCGATAAAGTCGGACGCGGATACGGACGACCGCGAGGATCCAAAGGGGTGATTTACGAAAGCACGTAACCGGGAACTTTGCCAATAGGAAACAAAGAGAAAGAGAGAGAGAGAGAGAGAGGGGGGGGGGAGATGGAAAGAGGAAGAAAGTGAGAAGTTTACCGCGAAAAGACAATAATTCGATTTTTCTGCTCGTAGGCAAATCGACAGGGCTGGTTACAACCACCAGGGTCACACATGCGACACCAGCGGCTCTTTATGCGCATGCAGCCAGCCGTTACTGGGAGGACGATGGAAAGGTGCCACCTGCTGTACGTACCTCCTGCAAAGACATCGCGCGTCAGCTGCTCGAGGACGACCCCGGCCGTAACATCACCGTACGTAATAATAATATCCCGGTGTGTTCATGTGTGGTGAAAATGTATGGCGGTACTTTTTGCGCTTTATGTAGATTCGATGGCTATATTTCCTTGAGTGCAGTCACGAAATTTTACCGAATATTTCAGAAGGAGGTCGATATATACATATATTTCATTTTGATATCTATGTCTTATTACTTTTGTTTTATGTCTTTTTGAATGCAAGCTTCGATTCTCAATATTATAAGTTTAAGTTTTATATGAAATTTTACAAGATTCTTTAACCATCGGAAACATATTCAAATATCTTAAATAATATAGAACTCGATACACATATCGATCGTTTTATAATTTGAATCTTTTATTTATAAGAGTTACAAAACTTTGATTGATAAAGCAATATCAGATGACAGTATAATTTAACAGGTAAACAAACAGGTTTTTTTTTCGAGGCGAAGTTTTGCTCTACATGCGCGCGCCACAATGAAATTTACAAATGAAATATTTAGGAGTATCGTGTCGCTCGTTCAAGTTTCCCAAGAAAGATGCGAAGGTCGAAGATGTAAAGCCTGTCCGATATGGTTACATTCACGGATGACGAACAGGGATTTTCACAGTTATGATTCCTTCCTGCATACGAGTGGACATAAAATTCCGCTCGTTTATCTCCTTTTTATCGCGTTTTATTACGCCTTCTATCTTATATCGATAGACATAAAATATATGTGTCGCGGTTTTATCCACACCTTTTGTCACGCTACGCTTCTTTCGCATTATTTTCTGCCGATCAAAACGAAGAAAGAATAGAGCTTAGCACATATTTTTATTCCTACAAATCCGTGTTACTATTTATTTAAAAGAAAGATTTGCATTTTTTACAATTTAAAGTTTTTTTTTTTTTTAATCTGAAGCTATTTTCTCGTAGAATTTTTGAGTCGATCAGTTTTAAATCTAAACAGTTATCGATTATATAGCCTGACTAGGAAGCTGCTTACAATGCATTCCATGTTTTAAATTAAATATTGAATAACTTTTAGTTTGTATATGATAAACGAAAATAAAATGCAACGTAGCGGACAGATTAAAAGCGGATTAACTATTAGCTATTTTTACCTTTTGGAATGACTCACGTGACGCTATTTTAAAAAAGAAGTTCTTGTTTTAAAGTTTGAACGAAGCAAAGAACTCTGCAGGCGATTTCATCGAAGCGTTCCATCTCCGGGAAAGTTAAGGCGAAACTTTCTTTCTCATTAAAGTCGGTTCCGCGTGCCTCGTCCAGACATTACGGATAGGCAGAATTAGAGGTCGATGGTTATATGTCGTTTATGATAAATTTTTCGATTCGAAGGAGAATCTTGTCGGATAAATGAATTCTGTAGATTTTATTCGCCGAATTTTTATCGAATTTTCTTAAATTAAGAATTAAATTTCGCATATACGTATACACTCAAATAAAGTAGCATTATTTCTGCCCGAATACAGGTTGTGCTCGGTGGCGGCAGACGTCATTTCGTACCGAAGGTGACTTTAGATCCCGAAGAGCCAGATAAAGAAGGCAGACGACTGGACGGTCGAAATCTCATCGAGGAGTGGTCCAGAAATCATCGTCGGAAGAATATACCCGCAAGATACGTCTTTAACAAGGAGCAATTTGAGAACGTGGACCCGCGAAAAGTGAACCGTCTCTTAGGTAAATTTCAATGCATTTTTTATATCTACGATTTGAAGATTTAATGGTTGCATTGATGGTATTGAAATCTGATAAAGAACAAACAATAGTAACGCTCGATAGCTGTTTTGGCTTTAAATCGACGAACGATGTATGATTTTTGATTAACGATTTAATTTGCATGAAAAATTCACGCGCTAAATTGTGGATTGAAATTCGTCGCGGAAAACGCGAGTACAGGGCGGCTTGCAAGAATTTAATTTTATTATTCGCATTCTAAATTAATCCGATTGGTTATTGTCTCATATTAATAGCGCGCTGTTGACAATCTTGTAATCAGTGTAATTATGAAATATTGAGTGTTTGTTGAGTGATTGTGAGATTACGTCGTGCCTATCGATCGTTATTGATGATACTTTATGTAAATATCTGGTTAATAAGTTAGAATGGTAACTATCGATGTCAATGAAGTGAAATTTTTAGTTATAAATATGGCTTTTGAATTATTAATACGTCGCGTACAATTGATTAATAATTTGTTAAAACGTGATAAAAACGTAGGTGAAGAAAATACTTCATTGTCAAAATAATCTGTTACGAAAGATCTTACATGCCTTACGATTATCTAGATATTCCTGATTCTCTCTGTTTCTTGTATTTTCTTTCTCAATGTCCTGATTTTTCTATTTGCCTCTCCCTTCTTTATTTGTCAATACGGTAACAAACTTGTTTCCGTGCAACTCGATCCAATTATTTGCCGGAATTTACTCTTTTGTTTCTTCACCGCAGGTCTTTTCGCCTATTCTCACATGGACTTCGATGTCGACCGAAATACGAACGACACCGGCGATCCTTCTCTAGCCGAGATGACGATTAAGGCACTTCGGATACTTGCGAACAATCCCGAGGGATACTTCCTCTTCGTGGAAGGTAAGTCAGAAGTTAGAACACTAGAGAAAGAGCCACTTACAACTTTGTGTGCCGGTGAAAGGAGTAAAGATACATCTCTAGCGAAATGACATCAACACCGAAAGCCGTATTGAGACATTACTCTGAGAAGCGAGACTCGGGATTCTTGTGACAATTTACTATCGATATAATAGTTCTTTAAATTTTAAGCCCGCATTTCTCGAGAAGAAATTTCACAACAACAATTTCGCGCTAAAAAACAGAACTTTTTTGTTTTGTTTCTTTAACAATTCTATGAACTCAATATGCGGTTATATCGATACAGTCACTTTTTATAATAGTCCCGAAACAATCTACTTTTGACGTTCTTCTTCGCGAACTGGAAAGAACTAAAGATTCCTTAGTAGTTAACCGCTTCCTCGATGCGGTTATGGTTTCCGTTAAACGTACTTTAAAGAAGATTATTTTCCGTTCACATAAACACATGCTAATCGCACTTTCCGATTAATCAGTCAAAAAATATATCGTGACACATTTTAAATACACTGACAAATTATAAAGTTATTTTTGCGATAAATAATATGTACATAAAAGTTTTATTTTGTTTATATCGAAAAAGTTGCGATACTTTCTATTACACGAATAATGCGCAATTGATATACCTACTAGTACAGAGAATAGTTACAAAAAAAAAAGAAAAGAAAAAAAACAAGAATTAATTAGTCTTTGATCCTCGCGCGGCGAGAATAAATAGTTTATTCAAATGAGGATGAATAATGATGATCGATGAACGCGCGCGATAGCATCAAAATTCATAATGACATCAGCCGCAGATTGTTCCATCGATCTATCGTCGCGACCATCGCGCAAGTGGTATGCGGGTTGCCTTGAAATGACAGAGAGAAAAAAAAAGCATATATGTACGCGCGTACGCATGTGCACGCACACATAAATGACGTGCAGGAGAAAAAAGAAGCATTTGCAATTCAATGAGGCTGTTCGACGTGTAAAAACGACGCGCTTTTTATGCACATTTGCACGTCCAAATTTTGATTTAGTCAGCAATGCAATAAAGGACGATTATGAACAACGCAAGTGTGTGTGCATTATGGATAAATCATTTTCTACTCATACACATTCGCGGATTATTCGATTCTATAAATCGAGAATGCGCACGATCAGCGAGTTGTGATGATTTTGAAAAACCGTCCAACGTCCAGAAAATGACAAATAGCGGACAATTTATAATGGAAATAAATCACTCATTAATACAAACCCATGACGGATATTAATCGCGGTACGAAACACTTTTATTTATATAGAACGCCCGAGAATTATGGCCATTTACGAATATTTTGTACGGCTTGGTTGTAGAATTTTTATCGAAAATTAGAATAAACTTGAGCTCTGTTTTCGTAGAATCCAAATTTACTAAATTTCAATTTTAAATTAGAACTGATTATATATGTTACATTATTTTTTTGCTCAAATCTAACGTGACATTTAACTCACAAAGATGTCTTTAATAAAATATAAATAATAATTTTCAGTGGTTGTAATCAAGGGAGGCATCTAATGTTTTATCGTTATATAAAAATATCTCCATATATATAATTTTTTTTTTAAACGGAACGTGTTTTCGAAAATGTATCCTCGGTTGGGAGATTGGAACTCTCTGTCCTGCGCATTTTCTCTCTCCTGCGCATACATATAAATGAGTTTGAGAAACTCTCCGCGCGCTAAAGTTACTTACGTGAAGTAGCTATCCGCATACACTTGCACATTACAACAATTTGATTAACACTTTCCGGTTAGAGGATACACGAGAGTGTGTTATCATCATTCAGGTGGACTGACGCGCGATGCTACAAGCTTACCGCATATTTGTAAAGTTTCACTCGGATCGCATTGCGGAAAATGCATTACTCACTATTGAAAAAATATCAGAGAGTGAAAAAGAAAAATGTTTTAAACAAATTAAAATTGTCACATACGCCCCTTGTGCTGTCCAACACATGAAACTAGATTCGTTATTAAAAAAATTCATGGAAAAAATGTCATGATAGTTATTTTCAATTTTTATATTTTTTATGTCTCTCAAATTAATTTTAGAAGAAAGCACCGTATTAATTTTATTTTATTTGTTTTTACTAAATAGCTGTTTTATGAAATAAAAAAAATATATCTAAAATAAATAAATTTTTTATTATTATTATATTACATTCTGAATATTTTGTTTTAATTAATAGATGGGAATATCGTGGGTATATATGATGTTTTTTGAAGAATTGATCATATTATTTTACAAGAGAAGTAATATACGTTTATACTGTATAATATCATGTAATATACTGTTTTATACTGTATAAAAGTAATTCTAGATTTATATTATAATATACAAACGTAAATAATTTTACAATATTATAACTGGAGTGTACATATGTAAGGTTTTCAATTGAAAGAATCATGAAAGAGTTACGCGAAAAAGTTAATACGCGAGGATACAAAATGACAAATAAGGTGAATTTACATAATTGGCTTTTTATCGTAAACAATTTTTTTAATAGACGTGAAAAGCTCGTCAAACTCGTGTTAAATTAAAACTATGAGACATTGAGAGAGGAAATTACTATGTTGAAAAATTACCTTACGTTTATTTTACTGGAATGAACTCTGTTGACTTTATAAGTACGTAGTATAAATTTCTTATACTATGCCCTCAACTTTGTAACAGTTATGTATACTCGACGAAATCGATATTCTTTTGAAGCAAGAAATTGTTTATCTTATTTTAGTTAAATTTTTTCTGAAACTTTTTTATTTACCGGTTATTACTCTTTCTCTTTCTTTTCCTTCTTTTCTTGGAAACAATTTAGACCAATAAAGGAAAAAAGAAACAATGTTTGATTATGTCATATATTGCTTCGATATGCAGTGTTAGCATTTTGAATAAGTGAAATGTTGCATATAGTATATAGTATACAGAAACTGGTAAAATGCAACTTTTCAAAGAAAATAATTTTATTGAAACTTTTATTTACATTTTAATGTACTGCAATATAACACATTATAATGCAATATATTTTTTATGACGCGCTTTTTATTTACTGGAAAAATAATGGAGGATTAATTACGTAAATAAATAAACACATAAGTAAAATAAATTGTTTGCCTGCAAATGGAAAGATTTAATAATTTTGATGACAAAAATGAACAAAAAATGAATAGAAAAAAGCATAAACAGACTATATATATGATATGGTTATTCTTATTCTGTAAAACAATACATTTAGCAATCATATATTAATATAAGGTGTTTCTAAAATAGATTGTTTAACTCTGAAAGCAATTTTTCTCGCTCTGAAAATGAAAAATAATCATACATGAACTTTTTCTCTTTAACTTATAAACATTTTTTGTCTACAGTTTACAGTATACATATATGAAATATATGGCAATGTATTGCGGATAAAGTATTCATACGATATATGGTCGTGCAAATAAAAAACCACTTTATGGTATATTTGATTGTTTCTTTGATAAAAACACACGCATACATTTGTCAAAATAATTTTAAGTTAATACATATTCTACATCATACACGAATATTTTTAATGCATTACAAATTCCATATATATATGTATATTGCAAATGTAAAGCTATAGCGGAAAGCATGTTATTTAACTTCCATATAGTTTTCGCTCGTTTCTGAAATTGGAGCACCAAGTTTCCGGAATATTGGCGTATGTCAGACAGAGCCAATGTTGCCGCAAATATATCTCGGGATTAGCGTGGAGCAATCTAAATACGCGTCCGCGGCATGCGTTAAAATACCGTACATCGTGCGGTAAATGCGGGCGAATTGCCGAGTTTAGAGACCGACGTACTAGACTTCCGGATAGGGAACTTCATCAGAGGACCGTCCCCATTCCGCATAGTCTCGTTTCCCCGCTGTTTGCAATCGGCAGTGAGATCTCGACGCCGCGGCTAAAGTTTCGCACAACTGTTGCTCTACCAGCTATCGACGTTCATTGCGCGCTAATACATTTCGATGCGACTTATCGCATTCATCAGGATCATTGATAGCAACCGCGACCGCCGCAAGTATTTTTAATCTGATGCATGGATCCTGGCAAAGTTTTTATCTTCCTCTCTTTCTCTTTTCAATTTAAATTATGTTGAAACTACGCTTTATATAGCTATTCGCTATGAATAAAAGAATATACATATATATTGCTTTAAAAGAAAATACCTTTTCTTTGTAAGGAAAAATAATTAAATGGATGAACGGGGCATTTCAAGATCTCCTGTTTTAAAAACATCGCATCCATGCTTTTTTAGCTTGGCATTGATTATTCGAGAAGAAATAGCACATCTGGGCCGGAAGTCATATTTTCTTGTCAGTCCGCAAAGATAAATGCATAACGTCCGAACTTCCTGTTAAGCTCTTATCTGAGATAAACCTCAAGCCGGCTTGAGGCTCGTTTGCACGTCGGGCGGCTGTCGGCTGAGTTTCAGTAGCCGATGGATGTGTTTACACGTCACGTTCTCTGATGTATAGTTACGCGGTTAGGTTTTGGGTAGGACGAGCATGTCAGAGAAAGAGAGAGAGAGAGAGAGAGAGAGAGAGAGAGAGAGGGAGATAGAAAGGGAGAGAGAGAGAGAGAAAGCTCGGAAGCTAAATGGGTCATCTGAATATTAATTTCGAACGTTGCCTACAGTGATACGTGGCGAATTGCCGAGTTTAGAGACCGACGTACTAGACTTCCGGATAGGGAACTTCATCAGAGGACCGTCCCCATTCCGCATAGTCTCGTTTCCCCGCTGTTTGCAATCGGCAGTGAGATCTCGACGCCGCGGCTAAAGTTTCGCACAACTGTTGCTCTACCAGCTATCGACGTTCATTGCGCGCTAATACATTTCGATGCGACTTATCGCATTCATCAGGATCATTGATAGCAACCGCGACCGCCGCAAGTATTTTTAATCTGATGCATGGATCCTGGCAAAGTTTTTATCTTCCTCTCTTTCTCTTTTCAATTTAAATTATGTTGAAACTACGCTTTATATAGCTATTCGCTATGAATAAAAGAATATACATATATATTGCTTTAAAAGAAAATACCTTTTCTTTGTAAGGAAAAATAATTAAATGGATGAACGGGGCATTTCAAGATCTCCTGTTTTAAAAACATCGCATCCATGCTTTTTTAGCTTGGCATTGATTATTCGAGAAGAAATAGCACATCTGGGCCGGAAGTCATATTTTCTTGTCAGTCCGCAAAGATAAATGCATAACGTCCGAACTTCCTGTTAAGCTCTTATCTGAGATAAACCTCAAGCCGGCTTGAGGCTCGTTTGCACGTCGGGCGGCTGTCGGCTGAGTTTCAGTAGCCGATGGATGTGTTTACACGTCACGTTCTCTGATGTATAGTTACGCGGTTAGGTTTTGGGTAGGACGAGCATGTCAGAGAAAGAGAGAGAGAGAGAGAGAGAGAGAGAGAGAGAGAGAGGGAGATAGAAAGGGAGAGAGAGAGAGAGAAAGCTCGGAAGCTAAATGGGTCATCTGAATATTAATTTCGAACGTTGCCTACAGTGATACGTCTTAACTGCATCAGCTGTTTATAAAGGCGCGCGTCTTCCAGTTCAAATCTTTCTAAATTTTAACAAAACGATAATATTGATATTTATTAATAAAAAAAAGAACAAGTCGTAATATAATTACGCCTAAAACATACTATTTATAAAAAATACTACAAATTATAAATATCAATTATTTAACATTTTAATATTTAATATTAGCGTTTTTTAAATTAATACAGTAGAGATTTATCTCGATGTGTGCTCCGAATATATTTATTTTCTAGATAATTGAAGTTTTGACACTGTATTGATGAAATATTTTGTCTCTTGTTTCTACGCAACTAGATAAGAACAATATATGCGATAAGATGCTTTCTATTTATTGTATTTTCCTCCATGAATACACATGTATGCAGTATGCAGTATCGCGACGCACAAAATATCTTTCTCGATTCTACGCTGCGTGATACACAGTATATGTATACCCCCGTGTATTCCCGCATAGAATTTATCGCGGAAA